TCGCGACTTACGCTTCCAGGCTTTTCTTTAGCGAACGCCGCCCGGCCGCACTCACCAACGATGAGTCACCCATCATTGTCGTAGATACTAGAACCCATTAACTATTCAGTTAGAATTGGTGGGCTGGTGAATTTTTCGGTGCACTTAGAGTATCATGCCGAGAATAAGACCACTGGTCCATGCATGCCACCCTAATAGCGCTTACTAGAGTGGGAAAAAGGGTGTTGAGAGACACGTCATTGAGGAGTGGTTAGGTTCTTAGGATCATTGTCGTATTACATCTTGTAAAGTCATAGCATACAGCTGATCGGCATGATCGTCTTGATCTAAGTTGATTTGCATCATTTGGGCTTCATTACTAGCAGCAGAAGGCTACCATTGACGTTTGAACATAGATTTGTCCTATTGCACCAGTGGGACAGGAATGCAATACTGTCGTATTCAGCGATAAGTTCAGGTACTAATTGTGACGATTCGATGTAAGTTGAAAGGTACGGAGGCTTACAGGTGGCTGGGCTTCATTCTAAGAGATTATAGAGGGTTCACACCAAAAGTGAAACTGCCGGTGCAATATTATTGTGAACAGGTCACCTCTACTGTTTACTTCGGGTGCTTTAAATGCCCACTTTTATAATGACACCATGGTAGATTGAAATGAAGAAATACGAAGTCATGTTTGTCAAGAAGATAACGTGTGGCCATACAGTGGCGTTTTTGGAAGAAAATAACGTCAAGGTACTGCTTTAGACGCCTAGCTTTCCTGATTTAAACTATATCAAACATGTATGTGGTATGTCCAAGTCACGCGTAGTCGGTAAAGTCAGCCCACAAATATTTTTGAGGAACTTTGACAGGGAATTGAGGAAATACTTCAGACATATATTGCTTACGTGGTTTCAAACATACTTCCAGGAATTATAGAATGCAGAACAATTATGAAGGCGTAATTTGCTATTAAATGTTTTTATTGTTTGTAAACGTATAAGGGTCAAAAATAATGTGACAAAGTTACGTGTATAGTAAAATCATGTTTCAATAATTCCTTTTACCCGTCCTAGTTTTTTTAGGATGAAGCGTAGATTTTAGCTAATATCTTGTAACCCCTAAATCAGTTGTAGAATTTTATAAACAAAAATAATGTCGAGTTTTAGAGATTTTATTTTTCTAGAATGAGCTGTTTTTAAAATTAAAAACGATGCAGAATTATCAAATTCCATTTCAGATGAGTTAGATTTCACAAAATTCTGATTTTCAGTTATTAGTTTTCCTTTTGTTGTTAAAGTATAACAAAAATCTAAAATGTAATTGGCCCGAAAGCTTTCCTTAAAGAAAGACAGAAAGACGGAAAAGGTAACCTCGCAATGTGTGCAGAAATGAATCTCTTAAAGTAGTTCCTTTATATACCGCTCGGAAAGAAATAGGCGAACTTTCCCTACTTCTGAATCACAATCAGTACCGTATGCATTATTTGTCATTTGTTATAATGTTTTGCTGACCAAGGATGAAATCAATAAGTGCAATAGAATGCTAAGTTTGTTCTCGCCGTTCTCATGAAACAACTTGACTTGTTTTTAAAAGTAGGTATAAACGGCAATATACAGAGTGATTTCGAAATGTGTACAATAAAAAATGGGGAACAGCTCACAGTAAGATTTATTGCATAACTACTATTCAATAAATGACACAGGACGACTAGGAGTAAGAACCAACCAAGTGGTGTAATGATAAGCAACGTGCCAAAACACGATAAGGGCCAGTCTTGTATCAGTTGATTGCCGTCGTATGCTCGGTTAACGCAACATTTAAATCGGTGGTACAGTATTTCCTAGATCATTGTACCTTCAAGCCTCAAATTCACGATCGTGGCCGTGATAGGACTGAAAGAATACTACAGTTGGAGTTTCACACTTTGTAGTACATTGTGCATTCAAATAAAAGTGACCATTAGTCAAGGGATTCGAATACTATACTTCCTTAGCTTATGCTCCGGAAGTGAAAATAATGCCTACATCCATGCCATATTCAAAAAGTGCAAAATTTGGAGCCCGCTGATTTTCCACGTCCTGTAATTTACTGCGAATGGCTGTTACAGCAATGTCGTGAACGCCTTAACTTTTTAAATTGCATTCTGTTTTCGCATGAAGCAGAATTCACTCGCAATGCTGTTTTCAATAGCCACAACACTCACATTTGGTCCTATGAAAATCCACACGCTCGTCAAGAAGTACTATTTCAACGACAGTTTTCCATAAATGGGTCGGCCGGTATCGTAAATCACCGCTTAGTTGGATCTTATGTTTTACCAAACAGACTAAACGCGACACAGTACCTCGATGTGGAAGTGTCTTTAGGCGAACGAGTTCGCATGTGGTACTTGCATGATGGAACACTACCAGATTTTGTTAAGCCAGTAAGTGAGTGGTTAAATAACCATTTTCCCAATCAGTGGGTCGATAGAAACGGCCCAGTAGCTTGGCCTTCGCGTTCACCCGGTCTGTGGGGTTGTATGAAACTGTTAGTTTATGGAAATCAACAGTATCCAGAAACTATCGTAGAGTTTCAACAACGAGTGGAAGTGGCATTCGCTAGAGTTCGTGGGACTCCCGGAGTTTTTTACGTATCCTTGCAAATAATTATGTTGAGACGTGCTGAAGCCTGAAGCTAGTCAAGGACAACGTTTTCAATATTTATTGTAAAATGGTAGTAGTATTCTAAATTGCGCTTATGTTTGTTCTAATAAAAAATGTGGGATCGTTGTGGCAAGGACCAAACATCCGTTAGAATAAAAAGTCGATCACCATGAAGCATTTCCAAAAATCGGTCCTTCTCAGGACCACTACTTGTTTCTACTACTAATAATCTTTCGCACTGACCTCTAACGATGAATGAATATATGAATGAACGACTGAAAATCAGCAAATACTCGGTTTTACTTTTAATTGAAACTGAAAGTGTTTACACTTTTTTTATTCGAATATTTTTCCACCTACTGTTTAAAAGGTGGATCAGTCAACTTTTAATTTGTTTTTTCTATATTTCTACATTACTACGGTATGTGATGCAGTGATTACCATTATTGCATATACAGCCTGTTATTGAAAGGTACGTACAAAATAAAATCGGCAATTGGTCTCGAAGTATGGGTGCTAAAAGCTAAAAAAAGTTCAGGTAAAAGTGTTCTCCTTTTAGAGATAAAAATTATTAAAATTTATGTCCAAATTTGTTGTACGCCTCTGATAAAAAGATCATCTTTCGTTTCTATAGCAACATTTAGTATTGACAAAGGTTTTATTGTTACAGTTGCTAGGATTTACTAAAATTAATTAATTTTACCTATTTATCCTTCAGTAGCGTCTAAAAAGATTGGAAAAGGGTTAATTTTCCCTTTAAAATTTTGATAAGACAAAATAAGTTTTTCCGACTTCTTAGACTTCGCGAAGAACTGTCCATTTTGTTGTACGTACCTTTCAATAACACCCTGTATTTCGAAATCACCCTGTGTACTAATCTTTGGTTGTTTATATGTACAGCGAATCAGTTATAAAAAAAATCAGTAAAGCTGTTTACATAGGAATTCCTCGTCTTCGAAACACAATAAATACCGCTCACTTTATCAATCAAGTCTTGTTAAATAATTCCTTTTAATTTCAACTTTTCATACGGGCACCTTTTGAAGCACACATTGTTGCTTCTTTCTAGTCAAATTATGCGTATTTTTTAAGATTTTATTCAAGTTTTGCCATTTCTGGAAAAAAATAGTGTACACTGCATTGAAGTTATTTTTTATTAATTATTGCATGCTATTAATTAATTGAACTTCACGTACATAATTATTGCATCGGGCTGCTTGTGTAGAAATACAAAGGTACATTTAAATGTATTAAATAAAAACAGTGAAACAAACAACTTCGTTTAAAATTCATTTCAAACTAGTGGAAATAACACAACTAGCACATTGTAATTTGTAAACAACTATTTAGCAGTTTTGTTTGTTATTTTGCCTTAGTGCTATGCCACAAGAGTCGAACAATGCAATGAAAAGCCAACTGGATTATTTAATACTTAAAGTTAGTGGAGACTTATAATAGTTGTCTACAATGAACAGTTGACGATCCTTCGTATTAAGTAAAAGTTGTTTTATTTCTATGATCTTTTAATATAGGAATCTCATCCTTCAGTGTCAGATTAAGTTTCATTGTAAATTATTTTTATTCACAATCAGTCAGTAACATACAGCTTTTCTGACCTCTGAAAGGTTAGAAAGTCAGCGATTTCACGATACATTTTTCAACGAGTCGGAAAAGCCTGAAAACGGCCAGTTATGACGTGTAAGCGGTCAGAAATGACCTACTTTGTGCGCCACTGTCGATTTGAACTTTAAATGTCAAATTGTCAAATGAAAGTCATGGTTATGTTGACAACTGAATGACATAATTGACATATGCCGTCGTTAAAAGTTTTGTGCGACATTCTATGACGGCTGATTCTCTTTCACCATCAGACAGTTTATTTGTTAAAAAACTGAGAAAATGCAAATTTGGTTACAAATTTGGTGTGATTTTCATTAACTAATTTTACAAAATGTCAATTGTCCAGTGCCTACTAAGTGTTAATATCTTACCGAAATAAACAGCACGTATTATTATGAAGGAAGGTTTTTGATTATTGTATTGTTGCTTGTATTATTAAATGATTGTGAATAAAATAGTATACAAACCTCGGCAAAAGTATCATTCCTGTTTCGAGAACGAACTATAGTTCTCTCGACAGAAATGACATACTTTCTGCCTCGGTATGTAATATACTAATTACTTAATGACAATTCTTAGCGAGGCCGTCTATGCATTGTAAAGTTGTACGTTGTACATGTACGAATATTTTTATTTTTGCTGGCCTTCGTTTCTAAAACAGTGTCACCACAACTAATTAACGTTTTTACGAGACGTTTCTCAAATTTCAGAAATTAGCCGCAAAAATAATAAAACATTTCGTTGTTTCAGGTCCATATGGTTGTCATGTCTGCCACCGCCTAACAAGGGACGTTCTTCGTCGCTATGATACCAACTAGTACCATCTCATTAAAGCAGAATAACACCTCGCAATCTCTTCCTGACGGAACCCCTTTTCAGCAAATTATGAAACAATGGAACAGAGCGCCTGAAACACGAGAATTGCCGTAAACAAAGCCGTTCCGCCGTGATGTAATAATAATAGTAGCGGGGTTGTGTATGTACGACCTTTTGTGATTGTGCGGATTTGTATGTGTGGGCTATTCTATTAATTATGCACCAACAATTAAGACTGATCGAGATTATCTTTGGAACGTCTAATCGAGTTACGGTTAATTTTCATTGATGTGTGCGTTTTATTCATGCTCACCACAACAATGGCAGCTATTGCGTATTCACTGAACATTTATACGTGTTTTTTCTTCGTCGTTTCGGCAGAATTGATGATGACTTCTTCCTCCGTTATTTATCAAGGTTTGTATTCCCGGTTTCACTAGAGCGAATTAATTGATGTTAGGATAAATAAACAAAAGAAGTTAAAGTAAATGCTGATATATGCTTCCGTAATGAAAAGTAAATTCATACAACTTTAAAATCACAGCCTGCACAAGATGTTCATGAGTTTGTGAAGCTAATGGATTCTCCACTGGCTTCATGCGACGATTTTAAGTGTTTGCTTGACGAAATACAGTTAACTAGTAGTTTTGCACAAGACATCTAGCACTGTTTTCGAATTATTAGAAGAGATTTTCTTTATTATCATGCATGATTTAGATTTTAAAACATGGTTTAAACTTATTTAGATAGAACTTCCGTCGCCCCTGAAGTACAACCAAACTAGTGTCTTAGATACATTTCGTATAAAATTGGGTTTCACCAATTTAATTTTATTCTAATAAAAACTTTTAATTAAAATAGAGAAGGAGTCAAGCCGTATTTTATTAATGTTTTAGTTTTTTCACCTTGCGTGAGCAACCCTGAATCATGTAAATGACTATAATATTTTGCATATTTTAGGTAAGATTTATTCAGAAAAATTTTGAAAAGACGAAATTGTTGGTGGGGATAATCAGACAAATTGTGGTCTGCATTTTACCATTACGTGATAGACTTAAAATACATTTAATATTTCAGAACAATCAGTCCAGTAGTTTCGGAGATGATCGATTTAATAAAAAGCATGTGTCATGAAACGTCGAGAAAACATGATATTAGTTATTCATTCCATTAAATAAAACAGAACTTACAAGAGACAAGTTATTTCAATAAAAGTATTTGAGAAGTATTGCAAAACTTATTGAAAAACGAAAACATTACATTACGTCGTGATTTCATTTTTGTCGAATGTTTGAAAGCTTATCGCTGCTGCCTTTATCAGCAGACTCTGCTCAGTCTAAGTCGAATTTTCCACCAAAGCAATTTTCCGCTTCTTTATTTGCCAAAAAAATATTGATTTTATTTTCGTTTATGAGTAAGCAATAGTATATGTCGATATATTTTTTAATGCATATAACTACTTCTACGTAGGTATTTTATTTTGGGTCCACAAGTTGTGTAACCACGACGCTGGAGACGAAGTGGGGAAATTAATCTCCCTCAAACCACTGCAAATAATAGCTGTCTTCGATTTCAAACTAACCACTGCCTTCAAATCTTATTAGAGATGCTGGATTCTGGTTTCGGAGCTGTGGTTACATAATTTTTAAATGAAAGATGAAAACAAACTCTGTGAAGATGAAGTATAAAAGATGATATATTATGAACTGGAAATTTTATAAATTTAATTCCAAATTATAAAATGTTAACATAGTGTGCAAAATCACACGGAACGGGATATAAATATTATCTGGTTGCTTTTTTACACTTAGTTAAAAATTGTTATGTTGTTCTCAGTCCTGAATAAACTTTTTGAAATCATGCAAGAGCTTTTAAATCGAGCTTTTAAAACCAGGTTTAATGGTTTCTTATCTCGACTAAAACAAGAAGCATGTCGCCAGATTTAATTCTTGGATTTGGTTGATTGGAAGATGGCGATGAGGCGACAAGAATTTCACATTGACAGTTATTAAATAGTAGGGCTGACAATACAACCATCGAGCCAAGCGTTGGTGTCGGAGTGATATTTTAGAAATCGTCGGCTCAACTCGCAAATTTTCTCGAGGAATTATTTGTTTGTAAAAAATGTGTTATTCGGTAGTCAGTTGTTCTCTCCAGCGACAGTTCATCATTTAATGCGTTACTAAACATAAAAATTCAATATCCAAGCCGAACGTTTGAGGGAAAAAACATGGTCAATTCCATGTGTTTACTTCAAGTATTATTACCGTCGTTCCAGTTTATAAAGGAATCTGAAATTTTCAATTAGCGGTACATAAAATGGGGCCTCCTCTTAGAAATGATACGTTTACTCACACACGTGAGTTTAGAATGAACGTATAAGATGGAATGTGGGGAAGTTTGTATCCATGGGTGGTTAGGTTTTAATTAAGTGTTCGTGCTCCGTATCATTTTGTTTTTCCTCACAATATTTGAATACGTTCCAGAGTTACGTTCATATTGCGTAAAAGTTTTCCAGTAGTGTGAGTATTCAAGAATCATCGACCTTATAAAATAAGGTTTTTTAGTTATTTAAATATGAGGTGACTGTTCTGAAATAATATGATTTGTAACTTAAAAGACAACAAAAGGGAACAAGAGAAGGCGACATTGTATGTATCTTAATGCATAAGAAAAAACTATAAATTGGAAGTTAACACGAAAAGTTTTCTTGGAAAATTCAAATAGTGTAACCATATAATCTTCGCTAGATTCATCTACGTAGTGTTTTCTTATTAGATTTTTTTAATGGTAGATGAAGTAAACGGAAAAGTCTGCATTGTTACAAACTAAGTCATAAAGTTTTGTATTAAATATTGTATCAGTTGTCTGAATTTCATGGGTTTAAATGTATTACATATTTATGAACGTTTGAAAGCGAATACTAAAACGTATATTTTAATAGATTTTTAATTATTTTACCCGGCGCATCCACCATAATTATTAGCACCGACTTTCAATTTATTTATAGAAAAATAATACAGGGCACGTATTGGTTCTTTTTTTTTGCAATAAATATCTAACTGTAGGTTATATTTTCTACCAACTTGTACATTACGCGAAAACCCTGCATTATATAAACCATAATTTTCAATTTTTTAAGATGAGTTAATTTTAGAAAGTACGTTTCTCTAAACAATAACTGATGATATTTTCTAGGAGACGAAAATAAAAGGATTAAAATATTGCTGTGTGATTCATTAATCATCACTTCCAAAAATTCTAATACAAATTAGAACCAAACGTCGTAGGAGGAAATCATTATATTATTTGCTCGATAGTAACAAGGTTAACTACTTGTTTATCTAATTGGCGTGCGGTGGCCCTAGTTAAACGCTCGAGCTTCAATTTCACGCCTTCGGCCAAAAACAGTACCTTTACGCCCTTAATGCGTAAATAACAATCGAACATTCACAACGCAAAATGCTTGCACTAGTTTTGATTATTAAATAAATTCGCTAATTCTATTTATTGTAGAAAGCACTTTGTGTGGTAAACGTATATCACAGCATTCGTAATGATGTTGAATAATATTCATATTATTAAATATAATCACGACCGGTATTAATAATACTCACGTTTGCAGCGATCTATTCGTAGAAATTATTTTATTAAACCGAATACTTTTTTATCATTTTGTTATGTTTTCGAACCGATTGAAAGTAAAGCGTACATTTTTAAAAGAAAATTCGCAGAAAGCAATTTTTCACGGAATGAGATGTTAAAGGTGTCCGCTTTTTTTAAAGCTGTATTATAGGAAATGTGATTTCTGTTCCGTTTATATGAACATCGGGTTTTTATGTTTGCAAAATGGCGTACCCAATCTTTAATATATAAAACATACGTTCCATTACTTTTCATGTATAAACAAATAGCCTTGAGCGAGCTGGTAGGATTTGCGTTATAATTCCATTGGAGAATATCCGAAAATTGACGATGCTTTGAATTATTTAAGGTAGCTCTACTTCCACGTTTGTGAGGAAGCAGGTAGAAGTTATCATATCATTTTCAAAAGCCATTCACTTTGAAGTAAACAGCTGGAAGCATTTTCATATAGCTGTAATGATTTTGCGTCCACTTTATAACGAAAGCATCGAAGAGGTTTTTATTTAATGAAGGGTATATCAATGTTAATGCTTCTTTAAATATGTGTAATTATTCGTTAAAACCAGATATTTTTTCATTGTAATTCTTTAAATTCCAACTATACAACCAGCTTTATTAATGCTTAAATATCTACATTTTGGTATGCAAAATTCTGAGACACTTTACCTAGCTATAATAACTACAATTGTTTATTATTAGTATTACTAACTTCCGGCAATAAAGTGTCGAAAATGTCTCGTATTTACATCGTTTATTAAATTACTATTTTTGAGGTTATATTTGTGTAGTTAGTTGTATTGTGTTTTGTAGGTCATATTTTAACATGTGAATGTGTAGGGGCAATATTTTACCCGCCCTTTTTTCAAGTAAGTAGGTATATGTTACCATCGCAGAATGAGAGAGCGTTTGACTAACTCGTAAGCTCTTGATAAAGTTTTACTGGTTTCATATACGAAGACTTTTCGTAGAAATCAAAAAACCGTAAGATTCATTTTTCTCTTTAAGATTTAAAAGGAAAATACCCCTAGAATATGAAACAGTGGGTGTCGCTATTCCGTCTGTCTGTGACTATCTAACGTCTGTGCCACGTTTTATTAGACAGATAATCTCCGAAACTACTGGATTGATTGTTGTAAAATTTTATATGTATTTTATAAATCCGTATAATATAATAATCCCCGCCAAAAATGCGATTCGGTCACATCGAAATTTTTCATAGCAAATTTGATTTAAATTTTATACCCTAATCATCTAGATTTGTAGGAAAAAATCATAATTGTATAACAATATTTTACAATTTAACTTTGAAACTGTAAGTGCAAATGTTCTTAAATGTTGCTTGAAATTTATATCGTAGCACGCTCCTTTATTTTTTATTTAATAATTTCCCGGTAATATAACCTTGCACATACAGGCTATCGTAAAAAAAAATAAAATTTGTAGAATGAATTTTACAATTTGCGTCAAAACCTCCATTTGTTGACCTTTTTATGAAATTTGAGGTTATTATTCTTTTAATTATTTCGTATTACAAAATTATAGCAATGTTATAGCTGAAAATACAGCAGTTAGTATTATAATGAATTTTTTAAGTGATATAATCGCTTGTACAGCTTAATAAGTGTAATGTAAATGGCTCGTGCCCCTTTAATTTTATATTTTAATTTTTAAGACCTCATAGCGTTGTGTTGCAAGGTTCATATCAATTATTTTTTCAATATACAAAATTTTTTTGGAAGTGCCGTTAACCTGTGTTTTGTATTTGCTTTATGAGGAAACGCTAATTATAAGAATAACGTTTATATTTATTTGCATTACATTCAACGGATTAAAGTTGCGTGACAATGTTAATAAACCTGTTGATGCTTGAAATCGTACTTTATTTAAATTACAGCCACAGTTTTATGAACGTATTAAGCACGATTTCTAACAATTAAAGCTGTTTCCCTTGTTGTCATAAAATGAAAAACTTATAGTGACACTGACATATGTTATAAATTTTAAATTACTAAAATAAACGTAGAAGAAATAATCTACACACATCAAACACTTTTTGATATTTGTTGTTTAATATACTTCCTGTCCTGAAGAACCGTCGACCCATAAATTTTCATTTATCACACTCGATCTCGGTTATTTAAGCTTGAGGTGATTTGTTGTGATATCAAAATACGGTTGTTTGTGACCGTGACCTGGCACACATGTAAACAGAATCTTTAACATTAAACATAAAGTGAAAATGAGCTCATAATGCTATTAAATTGCCTATTGTTAGAGGCAAATTAAGATCATATAAAGGTCCTAGCTGGACATAATATGATAGCACGAGTTTTAGACAAGGATGGTAGGCTATTCGATACTACCGTTTTGTCTTATGAAATTGCAGTCAAATTGTCTAGCTCTCTCACGACCAAATGAAATTCTTTATTTGAACGCCCAACATCGTGTTGTACAATAATTAAAAAAAAAAACTTCTTTAATAAGCTGCATGTTTACCTGGAAAATGAAATAGACGATAGGTTTGTTTGCTAGCTAGAGAGCCGGAAGCCAACTCAATATAAAGGTTCGACCCCTAAAGTTATAATAAAGGACGTAAAAGTAGTAATTCAAGAAACTGCTTTGCTGCAGATGTTAGACTTTTGGTTGTAATAACTTCAAACATCACCGGGAGAGTTCAAGTTGGATATTCCCTTGTACTCGAAATTTGTTGCTGATATTTAAGATGGTGGCATTTGCTCCTTATTCGTCATATTTTCGCGGAAATCGAGTCAGTTCTTGAGTTTAATGGAAGAAATATTGCAGATATGGTCAAGCTGAGTAGAGATAAGAGGGCGTACGAAACCCATCGAAGCAAAGACAATGTGGTAAAAGTCCCTTCCATTTCATCGTCCGGCAGAAGTTCAGTTTTCGCAACGGCCAATTCGACGTCGGTGGCGGCGCAGATTGGTGGGACGGCAAAGCTGCCTTGCATCGTCCGCAAATTTAACAATGGAGTAGTAAGTATTGCTATAAAGTTTATAGTGTGGGGGGAAACGGCACCAGTTGCAGTCAGTCCGCTAAAATTGTTTCAACTCAGTAAAACATACAACTGTTATAAATTCACAGTAGAGTTATATTGATCTCATAGTATAAAAGAATCTCATAACCATAACTACACACGTAATGATACAACAAAGAAACAGGAAATAATAACAAAGAGTATTATTAACTTTAAAAACTGTGTCGTCACAGATTTCAGGAACCATTTATTAAGATATGATTTCATAATACGAAAATTAACAGCTAATAGACGAATAGTTAACTCTTTTTTTCTGTTTTTTTTTTTTTGATCTCGTGTTGTAGATGTGCTCTGATCGAAACCACATATACAATTTTTTGTTAAATCATAAACATACTTATCCACCATATCTTCTCGAAGTTAGTTACAAATTAACAGCAGACAAGATTATCTTTTACCCGCAAATGAGTCCGCTAAAGTTGTTTCAAATTCTCTTTGTTATTGTCTTTGTAACGACAAAGTTATTGCGTTGTACAATAGATAAATTTATGCAATCATTGCAAGTACAGAAACAGAAAACCTCATCATCATTCTGAAAATTACTTTGACAGTCGTAGCTATATTTATTAGATGGTTTACACCTGCTAATGTATCTTGCTGTTGTGTTTCGCTCCACTTTTCTTTAGAAGAATTTCGAATAAAAACCGGATCGCGGTCTGGTATCACTTTAAACCGGTAAATAGGCTGCACATTTACAGCTTAGATTCTATCTTCTTGAAGTCATTGAATGTTTGTGTTTCCTAACTTTAAAAAGCATTCTTGACATTTTCGAGAGGGAACGAGTGTGCTGCCGAATTCACTACTAAACAGACGCCGTTTACTTTATTAAGGGCTCGCCAGGGTTTCATTTTTGCGCTTAGTCTGCACTTTTCCTAAATAAACTCGTTTGAAATCTCTTTTAAATGTCTCTTTAAAGGATATCTCGTTTTTTACACTATCACAAAGCTAGAAAACCTAATCAATACCATATTTTTTATTCATGACGTATGCAGTCAAGGTTTTTTTTGTTTGATTGCATGCAATTTTCTAAATGGTCTGAATGGTGATTGTTTTCCTAGAGTTGCTCATAACAGCGTTAAAAATATATTTTTATATATTTGGCAAGAAATAATGATTTAAAATGTCATTTATTTAAAGAGTGAACAATGACAAAACGTATTGAGAAAACGCAAGTGTAATTAGTAAATTATAAGAAATCAGTGCTTAAAGTAATTTTTTTGTTAAAATACACTTATGTAAAAAACTTTCGCGTACTGAAATGATGTTTGTAACTAGGTTACGAATGATCTAAATGATCTAAAGTCATTTAGACTCAACTTCCCTAGCTTCAGATGTACTAGGTAAGCCCAGTCTCTTACATAATAATTACTCCTATAAAATTTGAAAATACGAATTTTATTTGAACTGCCTTAAGTTAAAATATAAATAAACGTATTAAACTACAAGTAGAGGAGCGTTTTCTCCATATGTATATTTTATTGAGACTTTCACATATTTTAATAAAACTTTTAAGTAGATAATGTAGAGTCTTTAGAAGGAATGATTAGAGATTTACCATCTTCACAACCACTTTAGACCTAGTTTGTAAATTATGACGTAAAACTTGTCTAATGTTTACACACAAAAAAATGAAAAATGCATTATGGAAATGGATGTTACCGATATGCCATGTGTGTTCCAATAATTTTTAGTTAGTGTAATTAGAGACCATTATTACACGACTGAAATGTGTTCTTGCAGTTTAATTGCACCGCTCCCCAGTAGTCTAATCAAGTAATCACTTGTTTGTCATCGAGTTGTTGGTCATACATGCAAGTGAATACATTTTGTCTAATTTTCATACACCGGCTGATTTGGGACGATAGCAATTATTTTTTCTATATTTTCTTTCGTATGTAGAAAAAATATAGAAATAATATTATCCCGGTGCCTCCACCATTTTTATGGCAACGATTAAACTGATCAGATTAATCTAAAAGAATTCATTTTTATCCCAGTGTATTCAATTCGACGACATTTTATAAAGAATGACCTCAGGTAAAATTTCCTTTATTTTTGTTGTTTAGATTGCCTTTGAAATCGTTATGTCCATGTTCAGACCAATTTGTAAGATTTTCGTAATGTAAATAATTTTCTTTGTAAATCTGAAAAGGAAGCCTCAGCGTATCAAACGTTTAACATTGCAATTCTGAATAGCAGACTGGTACTTTGTACAAGCTTCAATAATTACAGAACACATCTAAAAAAAAATTAAATTAAAAACGTTGTAGTCTTTTTTTGTTGGAGTTTCTGTGTGGATTATTATAGATAGAACTGGTGCGTTCCAGTTGTATTAAATTCTGTTACAAAAAAAATTAGACCAATCTTTGACGCCTGTGGTCCTTTACAAAAACCATTCAAATTAAAAATAAAAAAAGCAATTTTAGCAACAAAGGCAGAAAATTAAAAAAAAACGTTGAATATTACCATGATGATAAAAAATATTGATTCGATTTAAAAGTGTAATTGTAATAATAACGGGAAGATCTTTGTGATTATTTCGCTTTTATTAAATGCTAATAAAATTTCTGGTGAATTTTATAGCAAAAAATCTATGTACAAACTAATGACAAGTTGCGGTGCTCAATGCCAATTTAGACAACTCCAAAGTTTGTGAAAATGTGCTTTCTGATCAGCTTTAAATACGTATTTTAAAACCATCGAGGTTGCTCGAAGTTTCCTAGAGAAAGAAAGGAACCATGTTTAAATAGAATGCAGTATTAAATCTTTGTATCATTGTATACATTATGGATAAGTTAAACGATTTTGGTATTTCTATTTAATCTTGGGACTTTAACTTTGAGTAAGTTTACCAAATATTTTAAAGTTAGCATCAGCGAAACAGAGATAACTGGATACATTTTTCAGGTCCATTTTTTTAAAGAGTAAGCTTCATTTATGTATTTAATTAAATATACATTGTAATACAGATTTGCAAAATTATAACTATTGAGATATCTTTAAATAAATAGTGGGGAGAGTCTGGTGAGGCAAAAATTATTAACATCGTTGATGGAAATTTTCTGTTTCCGGTATAACTCGAAATCCTTCCAGTTGAGTTTTAAATTTAATATCGGGCTTAATAGCCGAATTATTTAAAATTTATATTTGCCAAAGCTGCAATATTACTAATTTAATTGTTTTATTTCTGTATTTAAATGAAACGAACACAATTTAATTAAAAAGATGGAAACAGTATTCTCAAACACTGTGAAAACATCGTGACACTTTCTTGTCTCAGGAAAAAAATACGAATTTTACGTTCTTAAGTAAGTCCCTAGGGTTACCATGACTGTCTTAGTATTTGACAAAAACTAAAATGGGAACTTTAAAAGCATTGTCTATTAAACATACCTTGCTAAAAGCTTTGGTTGCTTTAAAAACAATGTGAATCGATTTCCAATTTTCACCACGAAAAACTTTTGCGTTAACGCTGTAACTTCTGCAATGAAAACTTCAGTAATTTTTTGCAGGTGTCCTGGATTAGAAAGGATGTCACTCCACCTACAATCCTAACGATCGGTCTAGGCCCGTACATAGCTGATGATCGCTTCATGGTGGAACATGCTAGACACCTCCAAAACTGGGACCTAGTCATAAAACATGTTCGACCCTCAGATGCCGGACTCTACGAATGTCAAGTGTCAACACATCCTGCGACCAGCATATTTATCGAGTTACGAGTCACAGGTGAGCAATACAGGCTTGTAAGTCGAGGAACTCCTGTACCGGTTCATCTTTTTTGCCATTCCTCCTCCATTTTTTGTAACGGAAATTTCCTGCTTGTGCTCATTTTTTATTCATGATTTGTTATCTTTGCGGTGGTGGTGATGAATTGTTTGCCATTTCTCTTGATCGGCGATTTAATTTACGATCGAAAGCGTATTGGCATGCTGCGAGAAATTTTTGCTTAATTAAACAGATAATTAATCATATGGAGCTTTTATAGGACGTAAAGGGATTTTCAGTGACTCAATCAAGGTACTCGTAAAAACCAATCAATTGGTTTTATTGGGGTTTTTAAACTGGCAATGAATGGGAAATTGGATACCCCGTGATGAACGGATTTGATAAAGACAGCTAACATTGTTAGCGTTGCTCATAATCGCTTTAAAAAGTGTAATGACTTTTTTAATGCTTTAATTTTTGCAGTTGGTCTTAAGGGCGACTATAATAAATTTATCAAGATAATCACGACGATTTAACCCACAAAATAGATAGATATACTAATTAGATAGTCTTATTGTTCCTTTTACTACCCTATCATTTAGCAACCGTCAATATATAAGTAATACATAACAATGTCAATAAAATAAAAATTATTATATAATTTTATTCCCACATAATAAGATTTTTTCTGTACACAGTCTGTGTTTTTTTAGATAATAATAGAAATTTACAGTCCTACTTTCATATTATTGTTATTTTTAAGGTTCCAGAAATACTTAAAATTATTGATTAAAAAATTCATGTCTCGGGTGGATTACGGGTCTCCGCAGACTTATATACCTATTGAGAATGGATAAAAATGTTAAAATTTTGTAAACGCTATTGTTTTTAGCTTGAAGGGGAAAGTTTAATCAGATAAAATGCAAATCATATATTGTTTTAAATTGAAAGACCACAACATGAAGACATAAAATTACGCATAAAAATGAACAATAATGTAGAATCTAAACAAGATACGTAAGGCACTCTATGGCAAATCACGACATTATTTGTCTTCTATTCTAGAAAAATGACCTTACCTACGAGTACTCCAAAAGTAGGTTTATTAGTAGGTCAAAAAATATTCACCACATAATATTTGTTATTCAAAGTGTACTATCATAAATAATTGAAAAGAAAGAAATTATTGATAAAATGACACATTTGTTTAAATACCTGTTCTACTACCCATCTTGTCAATATCCGACAAGTTCGAATAAAGCTTGCAACAAATGCGTGGGCTTCTCTCGGAATAAACGGTTTTAGAAAAAGAGATTTATCTTGGTTGCCGACTTTACTCTCATTAATAGAAGAGATTAACCGCCCTATATTTCGAAGTGGAGTTTCAGTAATTGATCTCACGTTGCTTGAAAACCTCCATAATTACACTTTTTTATATGGTATTTGTTTCAAGAGCTGCTGCCGGCCAGTGTGTTGACAGTAAACAAGTGGCTCTACATTTTATATGAGGACTCGCCGGAAAATTTTGTAGGAAGGGAAAACATTATTCCAAATAACAAACTAAATAGAGAAACTGAAATATTTTTGAAAATATCTGATGACTATGTATTTTACATTTAAAACTTTTAATAATTGTTAGCAGTTAGTAGGTAAAGGAGATGTGAAGCGTGGAAGGCGGAATTGATATGGCGTTTACGCCTGCTTGTTGTTGGGGATATAAATGTACAGTTTTCTTACGTTTTTCAAGAGATATAATATTCTCCAAAGTATACTTTCGACAGTTTGTATACATTCGACTTGAAGTGTTTTTCCAACTATTGCCCATGTTGTTTTCTCTGGTGGCGTATTTTCTAACTATCAGGAAACTTTAGTTGTGGAGAGCGGCTTTTTTACTCATAATTCTACTTCACTACACTATTCATTCAAATATTTTACTACTTTTATTATCGTTGGATGCTCAAAACTAGTTTATGTGGTTTTTACGTTCAACTCAATTCGAAAACGAAATATGCTTAAAATTATTGTCAAACTAGAAAGTTTAATTCAAACATTTTAGTTATAACATCAACATTATTTGAAATGCTTTGCTGTGATGATCTGCCAGTGAAGTACTTTAGTGTGTATTTCTTTAATACCCAGGTCAATCTTATTTTTTCTTAGATTTTGGCGTCCTTTGCCCTTTGTGTTTTTGTTCGTCGTGTAATTCAAGTGATAGAACCGTGGTTTTGAGAACAAACTATTAGTTACATCTGTGGCCAAACCACGGCCTTTGTATTCTAAGGACAAACAACTGACAACAGTCTCTATAATAAAGCAATGAGACACAGCTAACTACCCCAACGGAAGGTTGAATTTACACGCTAGTCATATGATCAGTCGTTTACGCAGCCTGGTTACGATTTCAGTCAGTTGTGTTATTCTTTCTCAAGCGCTGTTTCAAAATTATAGCATATCAGATTTCTCTTTTTAATAATAATTATTTCATTTCGAGAGCGTTTGGCCCCCTTTTATAAATGGAGCTTTCTTAATATCTATAATAATACGTAATTACATACAGGTTTATTAATATAGTTATGATGGTAATCTTACATAAGTGATACTTAAGTAACATAGTCTTATAGATTTTCTCAGAAAATGCATATTTTCTCCAGTTATGAAGAAAGTAACTCTTCTGTGTTAGTTCCAATCCAAACGCAGTTCTTTTAATGATGGCTTATTCGCGTGTGAACATTTATACTATTGACGTATTCTTTTTAAAATGTCTTAATTGGAGCAAAAACTGTAAAACTAAAGCTGTTTGATAAGACGTCATAAATTATGCAATATGTTTGAAAATATGGAAGAAATCTAAAAAATAAAAAAAGGGCAATTGATAAGAACACTCGGGTTAATTTAAAATTTTCAGCTGGTAAATTTTTGACGTATTATTTCACATTTTAAAACATGTGAAACTACCCCCAGGTGGCAGAAAACAGTATTACTAAAATATAAAAATATTTATGTATCAAGTGGATTTAGTTTACTGTTATCAGAGGTCTGCTGAAATATTATCACCGAATTTAAATTAATTTTCGCTAGATTAGTTAAACAACAAAATGTGTGTGGTTATAATAAAAACTACCAATTTTCTCAACGCGATTATCACATTTTAATTTAGACTCATAACACAGTCACGCTTTAGCCTTTGTTTCAACCCTAATGCATTGTACGTTCAATTTGTAAATGCAATATTAATATGACATTTATAACAAACCAAACACACGCATTTGACTCTTGAGATATTCGAAATAAAATTTTCACCAATGAATGCACAGTGACCGAGCTGGAAGCTAAAATTATGATTATGTTATAAAATTGCTCTTGCCTCTGTGGCCAACAAGTTTATTTTATATAAATTTATTACAGAGAACAGCAATATATACGCCCCTGATCAGCGTTTGGTGACCGTCGGAAGATCTGTAATTCATGATTCTACGAATTACGAACTCTGGATGTTTAACTTCTAGGGTGTAATATTTTATTAGTATACAAAAATAGTGCGCCTACAGTACTAGCACTAGAGTTTTTACGTTGTTTATAAAGTTATCTTTGGAGAAGGTAGGTTAAACTCATTGGATTCCCTGCCATTATAGCGTAATTCATTGCATAAACGGGGAATTCGTGAATCTGTGCTTAATCCAGCCATTATCACAATACTGCAGGAGTGATTCATTCTAATGATAGCACTCCAAAACCACCCATACACCCAACACACTCCTATAGCGCAATTTTCCAAATCGTAGCCTTTGTCTCTCACACGTATGACCATCCTCTAGCTCGACCGCAACGGAAAAGAGGCTTTTAGAATTTCGTTTGAATCAGAAATCGATTAAAATGTGTGTGCACGACAAATATCGCAGTCCGTTCCTTCTGCTGCTTTATTCATTTACAGTTCGCTTACTAAATGACGTGAAAACGGTTTTTTCCTTTAGATCACTCATATATTACCAGGGAATAGCAAATTCTAAATAGGCAGTGGCGATATAAGTCAGATAAAGTAAAAATAAATAGTAACTTTTTGCAAAAATGTTGCGGAAACTGTGTATGAAAGTAAATGACGATGAGTTCAAGTCAAACACAAATATTGGGTTGTCCGGCAAAAAAACACTGCAAATCAGTGCTGTGAGAAAGAATCTACGCACGTTATTCAAACTTTTTTTTTCAGATAACAAATACTATAACCTTACGGCAATTTATTGCCGCATGGTGTTATCACGTGAGTTTATATTAAAATTATTTTACACTACAAGTGGGGCCTGAGCAAAATTGAAGGCCACTCGAGTCGTTTGCATGTCAAACAAAATAAACTACACAAGTCGACAGTCATAATTATACATTTACAAATGTGTATCTCGAAATTTACAGCAAATTAATGTTTGTTTTTCATTAATCGTTGATGTTCGCTTTTCGTATAAATAAAACACAGAAATATGTCATAGAACACTACGTAAGAAAATGGACTCAGTTTTCTTCTGTAATTTGCTATAATACGAAGAAATCAAGTAATTCAATATTTACAGTAAATAAGCATCGTTTTGGATCAATATTAACGAAACGTAACTGATTTGTTAGGTAACATACTCAATTCATGCTCATTATCTTGCCATATGACGCCATAAGTTATGCACATAACTACTATCAAGTATAAATAAACACACTGATGAACTCGTCAAAGTTTCTCCTTCTAAACATTAATTACAACTTAAGAAAAGCTCCTATGTTCATCTCACAATTTATGCTCAGAACGTTATTTTTTATCCACTAAAATTTTATTAAACGACAAAATAGAAGTATAAAATGAGCACTTCGGTGTTATAAAATTATTCATAAAGTAGGAAAACATAAAATAAACTTGACCAACAAAATGTAGCATGAAGAATACCTATACACAGCTTTCACATAATAAGAATAAAAAATTATTATTATTATTAACAAAAGTAAATTTTGACGAAAATGTCTTGTAAAGTCGAACGTGTTTAATG